ACGTTCCGGCATGATATTATTGGATCGGGGCGTCACGTTCCGACACGGTATTATTGGATCGGGGTGTCATGTTCCGACACGGTATTATTGGATCGGGGTGTCATGTTCCGACACAGTAACATTAAAGAGGAAAACATATTGAATTAACTGAATGTACTCAATCTCAAAGAACCCATTTTCCAAACGAGCGTGGTGTGGAGGCATGAGTCCTCGTGAGTGTGCTTGATATTGTGATTGATTACGTGCTTGTTTCGTTTGTCACTTGTTCATGTTGTTTGTTGTTTATCATCTGCTAAGTGCTATAGTTGATTTTATACTATTACTTTATGCATATTAGTTACTATTTTGAGTCGGCCGATAATATCTACTCAGTACATATTGTCCTGTACTGAGCCCTACTTGTGTTTTTCTTTGTGGAGTGCAACGAGTGTACCAACGACTTCGACTTGCCCTCAGCTCTATCTAGTCTCCAGCATATCAGGTTCCAGGTTGAGCTATTGATTCAAGCTCGTGTTGGATTCTCTTGGTCATGGCATGATGTCCTTAGTTGTCAGACATAAACTATTTTATTCATTTATTTTGGTGTCTTTAATACTCTTAGACTTAGTATTTGAAGATTAGATGTCCTTGATGTGATGACTTTCAGGTTTTGGGAATGACATATAGTAGACTTTAATGGATTTGTGTTTCCTACACTAATAAGATTTAAGCTTCCACATTATGATTAGTATTTTGTAAGTTGAATGATAAATACAAGTTGGGGTTGAATTCATTGGTTCACCCACCTAGGAGGCTAAGTGTGAGTGCCATTCATTACTCGATTTGGGTCGTGTATTTACCTACATTTATTTTCTTCCTTTTTTTTTTCCGTTTATCTCCTTTTCTTTGTTTCTTTCTTTAATTCTCTTTTATTTATTTGTTAAATTGAAAAAAAAATGATTTTTAAATAAATATTAGTAAGGATAAATAAATGAATTGCAAACATATATAGGTCGACTTTCATTTATATTACATATATATAGAGAGATAGTACTATTATCTTCATTTATATGTAGATTAAATGTAATTAAATGTATTTATAACATCTGAAAAGATAAATTTGTGAAATAGTAATAGTTTATTTAGAATAGAATTCTATAATTATGAGTTTGTAGTTTTAATTAAGTTAATAATTTTTGAAGAGTGCATTTCCATCGCGAAAGATTCAATCCAGCCACAGGTTCCCCTACGGCTACCTTGTTACGACTTCACCCCAGTCGAAGACCCCACCGTGGTATGCGCCAATAAGACCACCAAAGGCCTTTGTGGCAAAAATATAATATCTTCAAATTGTAAATATGAAATATGCAATAAACAAAGAATCATAAATTATATGAAAATACATCCAACATAGTTTGATTTTGAAACAAAACATAAGATGAAAAAAATTAAAATATATTACATGCTTGACATAGTTATCGAATAGAGTTTTAAAAGTGTTTCTCCTTCAACTACATATATTCATCACATAAATGGCTTGATCCTAACTTCATCAACTGATCATCTTCAACATCTAGAATTTCTAAAATAAAGTATAATTATTGATAATGTAGACCACATAAAACCAAAGAAAAAGAGAGGAAATATACAAAAAAAAATTACCTTTCGATGAGTGGTAAGGATTATTATTACTTTGAATTTTCTTTATTGAGATGCATTTTTTTCTCTGAAAAAACTAAAGAAAAGACCGTCGGATTCAAATTTACTGAATTAATACGGTTGAATTTTTTGGGGTAGGAAGTTAAGTAAGTGGGTGAGGAATTTTAGGGATAACTATTTGTAGTTGAAGTTTTTTTTTTTTTTTTTTAAAATAAAATATTTAAAGTTGTCTATATGTAGTTTAAGTTTTCTTGTTTAGTGGATGATTATGGAGAAGTTATATTGAGGAGTTATAAAATTGTTTTTTTGTATTTATCTGTAAAAATATATTTATTGTTTAGTATAAATTTTAAATACAAAATACTAATGTATTTAGACTCCTTATGTAAAAATATACTCATCATATATCTATATATCCCTGTGTATATATTCATTTAACATTTAAAATTTTGTATTTAAAATTATGCATTTGTAGATAGATGATGCAATAGTTAAATAATAATTTATTATTGATTATTTAAAATTATTTAGTTACCATTGAATCAAATGGGTCTAAATCTAAGTATTGATATGTGTCTATATTTATTTAATTAATAATTAGTGATTAGTGATTATTGATTATTTAAAATTTAATATTATTTAATAATAATTTTTTTTGCTTATTTAAAATGTTGTGTAACTACCGTAGAATTAAATAAATGGGTATAATTATAATTATTGACATGTGTCAATATTTATTTAAATAATTATTTATTATTGATTATTTTTTATAGGATTTTATTATTATTATTATATATTATTATTATTATTATTATTTTTTTTATATGATTTTTTGTTTTTGCAAATGAAAACAAAACCTATACTCTCTATATTTCAATGCTATCATGACAATATTAAATATATTGTCCTGGTATCACGAAGAACATACGAGATACTCGCAAAGGGATAAAGCAACCTTCAATGATATCATACCTGATGGTACAATTGAATGCTGAAGAGTGTCTTATCGAAGGATTGAAGTAGACATCACTGATATCATGAAATTAAATAGATATACTATAATAATATCATTGAATCAAACCTCAATTATACCATGATAATATATAGATATATTGTGATGGTATCATGAAGGACTGGGAAAAGTGTCACGGATGGACTAAACAGTCCTCCATCGTATCATATCATTTCAGTAACGTATTATGAAGGATTATCACCAGAAATTAAAAAGAATAATATAATTTTAAAAAAGTGAATTAAATTATATTATAAAAAAAATCAAATGAAATTAGAATTTTTATTTGGGAAGATTTGTACCTAAAATGTGGTCTAATGATCCATAAAAATAAATTGATAATAGTGAGATTTCAACTTCAATCTTAACATAGATTATAAAATAGGGACAATTACACAATAGGCCATCGACCAACTAGATCTAATATATGTATTTTTAAACTGCATGAGTAACCCAATTATATGGGAGGTAAACGATATGTGAAGGGTATGTTATGTGTGAACCAATACATGAATATATATATATATATGTCATAAGCGTATGTCAAGTGTTTATAGTCATTTTTATTGAAAAAATACTCACTATTATGATTTATAGATACATAAATATACGTATCTTGTATATCTGCTATAAAAATACATAATATCGCTATATTTTAATTATAATTATTAAAAGTACCACTATAAAAAATTATAAGGAAGTCAATACCACTACATCGGATAATTTTCTAAGAAAAAGAAAAAAACATTATGGAAGATTTTGCTCTAGAAATATAAACTAGTACTAGGACTTATTATGTAGCTATGGGAGATCTTAACAAGACTCTTGGGATATGTATCTAAGTCACACATTTTTATAATTATCATTCTTTATAATAACATTCTATTATAGTATTCATATTTTTTATGAAATTATTTTTTCATGTTCAATCAAACTGTATCACATAAATTAAAACGGAAGAGTTTAAAACAATGGCTCGCCGGACATGACTTATGAACAAGGCAAGTTTGTCAATATGGTAAAACTTGAATAGACATAGACAAAAAAAAAATTCTTCGTTCTATTAACACCCCTATATACACTTCAAAAGACAAAAGGCCTCAATCAATTTAGAGTCAATCCCCAAGCTTCTTCCTTGTAATTTTCAATAACCTCTTATCATGTAGATTTTGCATTTTCCTCATATTATCTTTTATGAATTGACAAATAGAAACATGTCATGTCGATGATCGTAAAGTCAAAAAATTTGTGAAGGGCATTTAAGATTTACTATAATATGTGTTTGTACCCGGGGCGGCTCAACATAATTCGGGATTTAAAGTGAAATTTCAATTCAAAGCCTAAAATATAAATAAACTTCGTATATATATTTATTCAAATTTTATTTCTATAAGTAATAAGTTGACAAATATTAAATAAAGATAAGAGTTAGAACCATAGAATCTCAAGAAGTTGATGACTTGATATACCCCATTTTAATATACTTGACGTAATTAATGCTTGAAACTAAATTTAAAAGCAAATAAAAAAGAATTTGTAATGCACTTTGTTCAACACTTTTCACTATTAATTCTTATTTTTAACAAAAGTATAAATGATGTTCAAGTGGTAAAATAATATATATTTAAATTATTATACTTTTAATCATAAATAATCAATTTTTTCTATAAAATTTTTAACACGTAATTTATTCTTGATAAAAATTTGGTTTATAAAGCATTGAGCCGCCCCTGGTTTGTACATGCATAGAGTAATATTTGACCTACATGCATTGTATAAGTTTCTGACAAAAGGGGTTCAATTAACTATGGGGCATTTAAGATTTACTGTAATATGTGTTTGTACATGCATAGAGTAATATTTGACCTACATGCACCGAATAAGTTTCTGACAAAAGGTTTTCAATTGACTATTTTTGACTTAGCCACATATAGTTAAAACTGATCATAGACATCCTTCGTCGAAAACTATACGAAATATATGTCTTAAATTATTTTTCATATGTATATTAAATTTTAAATATTTTTGACAAAATTTTTGACTTGACCACTGATTATCGTTAGCTACAGCTCAGCCCCACAAATACTGTAGTTGAAATATAGGCAAAGGCGTAACCTGCAAGGAAATGCAAGTGGGCACATGTAGGGAAGTTTCAAAGTCTACGTAGTCGATACCAACTACTACTACTATATTGTTAGTGTTGGTGCAATTTTTTCTATTTCCTATTGGCCAATTTCTCACTCCATTTTTGTTCTTTACTTGACATAATTTTCCTATAAATTTGGCATTATTTTCCTCCTGTTTCCCCTCACCAATATATTGGTTACTATTTTATCACACATTTGGCACGTAACACTAACACTAATAGCAAAATCTTGAGCACACACTAGCCAGCCAAAAAAAGAACATGTCCTCTTCATCAGCAGAGTCGAAAATGGCCCTGGCCAAAACGGTTTTATCGACAATAGGCTCTGTTGCTGCAACAGCCATGTTGGTTCGCACGATAGTTCACAACTACATCCCCCCGGAGCTCCATGAGTATCTCTTCTTTGGACTCAAAAACATGTTCATCAAGTTCTCGAATCAGCTAACAATGGTGATTGATGAATTTGATGGCCTCGTTAACAATGAAATTTATGAAGCTGTTGCCATCTATTTGGGCAACAAGTTGCCCCCTAACATCCGGCGACTTAAAATCAGTAAACCTGCAAAGGAAAACAACTTCAACATCACCATGGAACGTAACGAGGAGGTAATTAATGTCTTGCACATATATATAATAATTTTTTATTTATTTATGTTATAGTATTTATTATCTTAATAGCTTTGATCTAAACTAGAAGCTATATATGACCTATGTTGCTTGCTTGGACTCTTTAAAAATATGTGTCGGATACTTTACGTATTTTTGGAAGATCTGACACGAGTGCCACAACATTTTTTGAGGGTATGTGTAGGTATGCTTATATAATTTCTAATTTAATGATAGACACAGTAAATTAGAAAGGGAGAAGTATGTATAATTATGAGTAGGATTATGCCTTCCAAATCAGACATATGACTTTTTGTCCTAATAATCCACCCTCCGTAAAGTGAAAATATGTATGTCTTAAAGATCTTTCATATTCATGAGTTCAGGTAAGCTTCTGCATTTAATTTAACAACTTGATAATTTTAGATAATAGATCTTTTCAAGCTTAAGGTTTTATTCCAACAGGTGACAGATGTTTATAATGGACAGACATTCAAGTGGATTTGGCTCTGCAGACAAACACAAGCTGAACACTTCTATAATCACAGAGACATGAATTCCACTCTAAAATCTGAAATCAGGTCCTTTGAGCTGACATTTCACAAGAAAAACAAGGACCTTGTCATTAATTCTTACTTGCCATACATCATGAAAGAAGCAAAACTGCAAAAACATGAAAACAAGACGATCAAGATTCACACTGTGGATTATGAAAACATGTACAATTTACACAACATGTGGAAGCCTGTGAATCTCGATCATCCTGCCACTTTTGGGACAATCGCGATGGAACAGGACCAAAAAGACATGATCTTGAAGGATTTGGAGAGATTTGTGAAGAGGAAAGATTATTATAGGAAAGTTGGAAAGGCATGGAAAAGAGGGTATTTGTTGTTTGGTCCTCCGGGGACTGGGAAATCTAGTTTGATTGCTGCAATGGCAAATTATTTGAACTTCGATATATATGATTTGGAGTTGACTGTGCTGATGAGGAATTCAGATTTAAAGAAGTTGTTGGTTGCAACAGCCAATAAGTCCATTTTGGTGGTAGAGGACATTGATTGTACCATTGACTTGCAAGATAATTTGGCTAATCGAGCTGCGTTTGCTCATTCAAATGGTTATCAGCAAGAATGCAAGGTAAATTAGTCTTTTATTTTCCATTTCCTATCTTTACTATTCCTACTAGGTATGAACTCAGATTAATCGGACGGTGTGTTTCAAATACCAAATGATGAAATAGAAAAAGTCTGTATACACAATAGTACGCAGTGCCGGCTCTACAGCTTTGAAAAAAAAGGCAACTGCCTTAGGCCCCAAAAAATTTGAGGGGCCTCATTTTTTAAAAATACAATAGATTATACATATTTTTTTTAAAAAATATCGCGTATAATTTGTAGAAAATATAAGTTTTTCATCAAAGAGCAAGGAAATAATAGAAGTTTGATAAATTATAAATACTATGTCTCAAGAAAGATTAAATAATTGGCTATAATAAACTTCATAAAAAATATATATTCGAATTTAAGGCCTCCATTCGAATTTTGCTTTAGGCCACTGATTTATTAGAGCCGCCCCTGATAGTACGTTAGGGCAATGCATTTTAGTTTACGGGGTAGCAAGAAATTTGTAGTCAGAGCATGGCCAAGGGAAAGAAAACAGGTTTTGATCCTGCTATTACAGTTTTTAGGATAACAAATCAATTACCATAAATTGGATAGGATATGTTGGCCTCTTTTCTGTGCAGTATTTCGACATGACAAGAACGTGAAGGGGTTAAGAACAATTATTATAGTGTGCCCTAGCCTATAGATTAGTCGACATATTGTTACAAATTCTACTTGCATGGAACGACAATAATTTCAAGCTCCATTAATTTGTGGCTTTCTTGAATAAATTAAGAGTCAATTATTGGGAAAATTTGTATTTGGTATTAGTGTATTCTGTAATACTCTATCTTACTAATATAACTTTTTATTGCAGGTGACCTTGTCAGGTTTACTGAATTTTATTGATGGATTATGGTCAAGTTGTGGAGATGAAAGAATCATAATTTTCACAACAAATCACATAGAAAAACTCGACCCTGCATTGTTGCGACCTGGCAGAATGGACGTGCACATTCACATGGCATATTGCACACCGTGTGGCTTCAAACTTCTTGCTGCCAATTACTTGGGGATTAAAGATCATAAATTGTTTAAAGAAATTGAGCACTTGATTGACACATTCAATGTGACACCAGCAGAAGTGGCAGAACAACTGTTGAAGGAAGATGAAGCTGAAGATTCCCTAAAAGGGTTGATTAATTTTATTCACAAAAAGATAAAAGAGAAGGAAGAGGCTGAGGCTAAGCCTAAGAAAGTGGAAATACCACAAGTGGAAGTAGGGATGACAATGGGGCAGGGCGGGGCGGATGAGTACATTCCAACCTGCCTCCTTGGGACTTGTGGAAAACCCACATGAACCTGCAAAGACTTTACCCCGTCCCGTCCTGCCCTGCATAGCATAATTTTTTGTTTTTGCCCCGCCCCACATAAACCCACCCAAATAATTTATAATTTTTTTAATTAAAAGAAATGTACAAGTTATCAATATTTACTATTAGTGTTGAAATAATAATATATATATCTTCATTTGAAAGCCAATTTGTAGAATATATATATATAGTTTATTAGCTGTTGTGACAATGTGGGAAGAGTCATCAGCAGTGCCCAGAAAAATATGGCATACCATGAGTTTTATTTTATTCAACGTGTGAATGCATTGTAAATTTTTGCTTATAATAGAATTTGGGGCAGGGCAAATTCTGCAAATAATAAACACATACCATCTCCAGTAATTAGATTGTGTTGGGTTTATTCTCATTCAAAATCTTATCTTAAAAAATATTTAAACGATCCTTGTAAACATATTTCTGTTATCTTACTATAGCATTAACAATTTATGTGGCATGGATTACAGTTGAGTGGTTTAGAAAACAATCATTGGATGCATATATCCCCAACCCACGTACTCGCCCTGCCCCACATGTTTTTCTTCAAAGATATTTTGTACCCGCCCCGTCCCTGCATAAGCTCTAACCCCCTCCGCCCCACAAACACTATAACCTGCCCCTCTCTGCAACCGTCCCGCCCCGTTGTCATCCCTAAGTGGAAGATGAAGAAGAGGTAAAGGGTTGATTGAATTTTCTTCATAAGAAGAAAGAAAGTGATGAGAATGGGATAAAAGAAAAGGAGGAAGAAAATGGTTTACCAATTGGGGGAGTTAAAACCACAGAAAAAAGAGAGCCAATTATAGAATATGCCACCTTTCTTTCCATTTAATTTGGTCTATATAAACTAAATTATAAAGGAGCATATCTAGTAAATTGTACAAGTATTTAATTTTTGTTCCCATTTTTAAAAACTTCGAAAAATTCAAACCAATCCGGCCATGTACACCCCTACATATACATGTTCTTCTCGTTTCTCCCATCCTGAAAATTCATATGGACAAACAGAGGACAACTTGGATCTCAACAGCCTTGCTAAGAAGAAACACGACATTTTTTTCTATGATCGAAAATACTATAAACACAATAATTAACGATTTAAAATATTTAAAAATCATATAAAAATATAATTTACTCTCCAAATTCCATCTTTGCCACATAAATTGAGACAAAGGGATTAACACATATTATTTGAAAATAATGTACAAAATATTATAAATCATAATATTAGCAACTTCAAAAAATATATAAATTTTTTGATAGACTCTCTAAGCATAAATTGGGGTCCGAATGAGTACTCTCTCTTTCCCCTGGTTCAATTTTGACTTTTTACTTGCCTTTTTTTTGACAATCAAGAAAAGACGATATTTTTTTACCTATTATATCCTCAATTTATTTTAGAGAATTAATATTTTTTTTGAAAAAAAGTAGAATCTCTTTAATGAGTAAATTAATTTTGGAATATAATCAATTAATGGGGGTACAATGATGAGCTCACTATGTCAATTATTATTTTCTTAATAGGTGTGTTAAGTAAAAAATAGACAAGTAAATATGAACAAAAAGAGTAACATATATTGGGTCAGGCACAGACTCTCCTATCTAGTAAAAACTAATTATTTGGTACAAAATATATTGGATAATGGACACAATACTTGTACAAAACTCAGGTCTCATGAGCCCAAAATTGTAAAGTTGAAAAATACAAAGAAAAACTGTCTAATTAGACAAACATCTTTACCATTTTTACCATTACAATACGCCTATTGTACTAAATCATTCTAGTTCGACTTTGATGTATATTTTTAAAAGCCTTATCACTAATTCTGATGTATACTTTTACAATAGGAAAAAATTGCACAAGACTAACAATAGTAGTAGTTGGTATTAACTATATGTAGACTTTGAAACTTTCGTATATATGCCCACAAGAAATTAAAAGTCTTTCGCCAATACTTAATAGTCAGTTGAGCATCTTCTGTCAAAATATTATATTGTATATATAGGTTAAATATTATTTTTGTGTACTCTTGTAAATTTCGAACATTCTTAACGAAATCATTTACTTTACTACTATCATCATGATTCTTGACATGTTTCTATTTGCCAATTCATAAAAGGTAATATAGGGAAAGATAGTCAACATGAACTAAGTCTATAGGTTATTGGAAAATAAGTCGAAGAAGCTTTGGAATTGCAACAAAATATTATATAGTATTTATTTTTCTCCTGCTTGACTCTTAAATTGAATATAGGGTCTCTCTGAAGTGTAAATTGGGGTGTTAATTAAGTTGATGGACAACCTATTCAATTTTAACGCGCTAGAAAGAAGAAAAATAATCAACAGTCTTGTATCTTGACCCGTTTAAAGTTTGTTAGGTCTTTATAAATAACAACAATGATATATTCACTATAATTTCATAAAGTGAGATTCGAGTCTTTATAAATATGTTAAATATTTTGTTTTCTATTTGTTTCTTACATTTTTAACGTAATTTCTATATTTTTAGTGCTATAATTATTTTATTTTATTAAAGTTTTGGTTTTAAAAAATAGTATTCATGAGGCTTATACCCCAAGTCTCAAGGCTTACTCTTCGCATTGTACTAATTAAGAAAAAATCCCTACCCTTGACTTTTAATACACTAGCCATTATAAGTTCAAATAAAATCAGTTTGCACCGATATTTAACTTTTATCTCGGATAAAAATGTTCACAAGCCTTATCAGATTGACGAACTTATCTTGTTTATTTCATTCTATTTATTCTTTAAATTGTTCACATATTTTACCGAATTTGAAAACTTACCTTTTACACAAGTCATTAAGGGTGGGACATGATTTGAAAAAATAAATAAATATATATTGAAAAAGAGAATTACAAGGTAAGCAATCAAATTCTCACTTAAAAGATGAAATTAAAGTTCAGGTAGTCAACTAACTGAACTACTAAAATTTTCTTACCGAATTGGCAAGGCTAGTTTGTGTTATTCAATTCTTCAAAAGTTATGCTAAATTGATAAAATTTGATACCATTTACATTTTAATTTTCTAGTTAATTATTCATAGGTTTTACCGAATTGATAAACTGGCCTATGTTTAAGAAATTGATTTTCTTAATGATAATTTTTTGTGATATTCTTAAAGACAATAATGATTTTATTCCAAGCTTTTATCTTTGTGCGAACTTTATCATTTATACGTTGTCAAATGGATAGATCGTGCTGAATTTTAACGCATTAAAATTTTGAGCTTTGAAGCTCTTCAATGGTAGATCTCAATGGACTTCAACTCAAATCTTGCTCTGAATATATAAAATTTTAGATATAAGTTATTCTCAATACCTTGATTCTTTTGAAATATTATTGACTCGAAAAAATTTACGTTTACAACAGGTCAAACATTAGAATTACTTTACTACTTATTATAATAAGAGGCCACAACCAAACAAGTCTTGCTTGACTAGTGTGCTTGAGTTATGTGCTTGCAGCCAAGGGTGATTTGTTGCTCCAAATTTGTGGGGGGCACTTCAGCTAGAAGCAGGCAACTGTTCATCGATGAGGGTTTTTTTGGAAAATTAATATTTTTTCAGCTTCAATTTATTTATTTACTTTACTTTTTGATTTGTTAGATATAAAAATTATATTTAAAAGATATTATAAATCACAATAATTAGTCGCTTGTAATATTCGATTAGATGTTTAAAAATTACACAAAGAAGTAATAAAGGCCAAACTTTCACAAAAAGGAGACATTACAAAAGGAGAATATCATCCCAAACTTCCCTAACCATAATAACTATGCTTCAATCTTGATGGTAAAATAGAAATAATGAATACTTTTGGACGAACAAATTATTATGTGGCATTTGTAGGTCATGTATCGTTTTCTTCGGACGGGTTTTACACTTTAACAATCAATTATTCCCTCTTTCAACCGAACAATCATTAAGTAGGAAAAACAAACAACAAATAGTTAAAGATGTGAAATCCGCGATAATTCAGATGTGTTTTTGGTATTTTGCTTCATTCAAAATGTGAGGCAAGTAAGTGTCAAAGACATATTGATAGTCTTTCTTTCGATAAATGAGGTTAAAGGACTTCATCTCAGATCTATGAATGGAATTGAGGTTGTCAGGATGATGAAGGCATTTAAAATCTAGCCAAATCCACTTGAACTTATGGCCATTAAAAACATCTTTTACTTTCTCATTATGTTCCAATGTGACTTTGAACGAATTCTTCTGATCCTTCTCCGTCTTACTTGCTTTGACTTTACATTTTTGGGGAGACAGATTGTTGCACAAATAGATCTCAACAGCTTCATAAACTTCATTTCTGACCTTCTCATTATCTTTCAATGTGTATTCATCAATCACCAATGTAACCTTATTTGACAAGAATTTCTTGAGTTTAGAGAAAAGAGCTCGATTGTTATTGATTGATATAACGAGGCTCAAAATCCCCCCGATTATTGTAATGGTGGTGGCTATTGAGTTTAAAAACGTCATGGTTTTTATGCTTAAGCTATAGAGTTTATGCTTGAGCTTTATATAATTATCTTTTCTAGGAAATTTGGAAACATCTAGGAAATTGCTCAATAATTGGATTTATTTATACAAGTCGTAAATCAACAATTTTGTTCACACTACTTCTAAGGTCACTCTATTAAAATTGATAATACTCCCTCTGTCCTAATTACATGTCAACTTTTCATTTTATAGTTGTTCCTAATTACTTGTTCATTTTGACAAATCAAGAAAGGATAATTTTTTGTTATCTATTATACCCTCAATTAATTATTTTGAAAAAGGTAGAACTTTTTGAAAATTTTAAATTGTTCTACTTCATAATTAATTGGGGTATGCTAATCCAAAATTGACAAGTAATTAGGGACAGAGAGAATATCTCAAAACCTCACTCAACATTGTATTTGTTCTCTAAGAAATCACTCAACTTTGATTTTTAACTCAA